GTGAGCAGAAGAGACTTATTTAAAAAAAACATTAAAAATCTTACGGTTCAAAAACTTTTGACTGGTAGTGTATATGTATTTAAAATATAATATATTTAATACTTCAATTTAATATTAAAATTATGAAAAAGTTGTTTGAATCAATGATTCAACGACTCACTCATAAACCTACTGGATGAATCAGCGTTTTTGAACGATTCTCTTGAATAAATGATTCATTCAATTATACATTTTTTAAGTCACTTTTCGCCACCTAGTGGCGAAACAATGCAATCGACACAAACGTTATGTGGCAGTTACTTTCAAACGCGGATTTGCTCTATTTTGGTCGCGCTACCATAGACATCAATGTTTATATCTGAATTATAAACTTTCATCCCAGTATTTCTGTGATAATATGAATGACTGTACGACAGAAATAATACTGTGTAGTTGAAAAGCTGTTTGTGAAGCTGTTTCTTAACCAAACATGGTAACTGCTATCTCTGTATCAGCGGCAGTGCGAACGCAGATTTGAATGATCCGGAAAGCTTTAATAGACATGGGAGAATCGTTGTCATTTAGAAATTAGATCGTGTGGTTGTCTGAATCGAGATTGCGATCTTTTAGCGATTAATCGTTGTCCATATTTCGTTATTCAGAAATATGCATGCAAATATCACCTGTTATATTTGTCAGAAATGTGCCTGAAAGAGTAAATGTGTTTTGTTATGAAAGAATGAGTGTTGTTTTGTCTCACTTGGAGTGTAGACATACTGAGATGGTGAGATTGTGTTAACTAGGAGTTGTATCTTGATTATATGCATCGTATGCTCTTTGTTTCTTAAGTGCTATTTTTTGGTGCGTCTCAGAAAAGCACAGACTGTCAGTTAGATAGGTTTGATGTCAGCTGTTTACTTTTTCATTATTTGTTTGTCTTGAAGATGTTGGACATCTGGGTGTGTTGACATTATCCTGAAGTCGACCTTTGGATGGTGCATTATCTGTTGTGAATGTATGATTTGTATTAAGTCTCACCCACAGCTGGCCAGCGTATTTCCGAATGATTTTGCAGTGTCGATTTGTACCTCTCGGGTATCTTTTTCTTTTTTCGCACATCATAAAATCGCAACGTCGAGCACGACTGTAGTGCACACTTATCCCTTTGCTTTTTTTTAACACATGACCCACATATCTCAATATAACAACAAATCTGTTGCACCCTACAATGCCAGCCTTAAAAGCAATTTTGTGCACAGCCATTTTCTGCCCTGCAAATCTTTCTGTGGAATTCTACACAGACTTATCACCTCGAGATGTTCATCTTGATATGCGGTGTCACATTTAGAGTGAAGTGAGCACATACAGTTTGACTGATTAGCTCTTTCTAAATAAGGAAGCATACATGTTTGTTTGAGTCGTATGGAGTTGCAGAGATACTCTGATGTCTTTGTGCTGACAGACATGAAGTGGCTTCAGAAAATGTAAATAATAATTTTTGCAGAATTCTGTGACCATTCCATTTTGTATGCCCTTTATCCAAAGTGACTTAAAAGGATTGTTCACCCAAAAATTTAATTGTCATCATTTACTCACCCTTAAAGGAACACTCCACTATTTTTGAAAATAGGCTTATTTTCCAACTCCCCTAGAGTTAAACAGTTGAGTTTTACCGTTTTCGAATCCATTCAGCCGATCTCCGGGTCTGGCGGTAGCACTTTTAGCTGCAGCTTATGGTGCGTTCAAGTCATGTTGGATAGATCGTATATAATAATCAAGGAACTTTGCTGCCGTACCATGGGTGCAGCAGGCGCAATGATATTATGCAGCCCCTGAAAATAGGCTAACTTCCGTCAACATAACCAACTACACAAACTTAGTGCCGGTCACGTTGGAAGTTACCTAGCTGGGGACTATTTTCAGGCGCTGCATAATATCATTGTGTAATATCATCTGTATGAATTTCTTTCAGCTGTAGAACACCATATATTGAACACCAGTATTGAAGAATACTGGTAACCAAACAGCTGACGGTAGCCATTGACTTGCATAGTATGGGGGAAAAAAATACTATGGAAGTCATTGGATACCGTCAAATGTTTGGTCACCAACATTCTTCAAAACATCTTCTTTTCTGTTCAGCAGAAGAAAGAAACTCATACAGGTTTGGAACAACTTGAGAGTGAGGAAATTATGACAAAATTAACATTTTTGGGTTAACTGTCCCTGTAAATTGCATTCAGATATGTTTGGTATATATTCAAGGTATTTTCCCTGGGAATCGAACCCATGACCTAAGCATTGCTTGGCTTATAATGGATTACTTATAGCTGACTGCACTAAAATGGCTTGCAACATGAGTTTGTTTTTAAATGCCGGTCCTTAACCAGCAGTTTTGCGTGTCTTTAAAGTTGTTAGTGTGCTGGATGTTGTGCTAATTAGACTGCCACTTCTCTGAAAATTAGAAAAGAGCTGCGTCCACATACCGTAATTAGCAAGAAATCAATCCGTCGCACCCGCTGAGACGCGCAGGACATCCAGATGGTTTGTATGGACTATAATGGACAGCGCGTTTGAGGTAGAGACACTTTGAGTTACAATATTGATCAAGAAGCTAAAGAGTATTTAATTAGAGCAGAGTTTCGCTGTGATT